TCACATACTCTGGATTGTCTTCTTGGGTCTGGGGAGGTTTGAGCAGCAGGGGTGACCCTAAGGCATATCAGAATCATGGGAGTTTCTCCACTGGCCTCCACCCTCACCTGAGATTCACATACCTCTCCAATCCTCAGGGTCTGCAGGGGGATTGCTCAGTTTTGAAAAGAAAAACCATATAAATCAAGAAGGAATTTCAGAACTTTGTGAAAATATGAACTTGAAATTCAGGGTTAGAGGTGACAGACTACCGGATTATCTACTTTAATCCCTTTGTTAGAGAGTGGAAGTGCCTGTTCGGGCACACACAAAGTAATGGTTTGTCCTGGGCTCTTCTGACTGGGACACAGAGAAGTAACTTGCTTGCAATCACATGCCTCTCAGCAGACAAGTTAAAACTCTGCTGCCATGCCAGTCCATGTTCTGAGTGTGTGGAGAACACATCAGTGATTCTGCGTAGGTGCAGTTCAGCAGAACAAGATACAAACTAGTTGAACTTCGTTTTACTGCTCTGAAGGAAAAGGAGAAAACTAACATTTACTTAGCACCTGCTATATGCCACTTCCCATGCTAGTCTTTTGACTGTTTCTATTAAAATTCTACTCATATTTCAAATACACCTCTCCCATGGAATATTCTCTAACTTTTACAGCTCTGAAAAATCTCTTTCTTCTTTGAATCTACAAGATTTTATTTGTACTTTTAACGTGGTACTAAAGATGTTCTTCATTTTGTTTTATAGTTAGTTTGTGCAAATGATTTCCTGCATGAGTTTAATAGAGCTTGGGAAAAAAGAAACCATGTTTTGCCAATCAATGTATCAAACCAGGGTTGTCTCCACAGGAGGTTCTCAATAAATACTTTTGAGTGACTGAACAAATGAACAAGTGGAAAAAACAAGTGTTTAAACCAGTGGTTCTCAACCTTCCTAATGCCGCGACCCTTTAATACAGTTCCTCATGTTGTGGTGACCCCCAACCATAAAATTATTTTCGTCGCTACTTCATAACTGTAATTTTGCTACTGTTATGAATCGTCATGTAAATATCTGATATGCAGGGTGTATTTTCATTGTTACAAATTGAACATAATTAAAGCATAGTGATTAATCACAAAAACAATATGTAATTATATATGTGTTTTCCGATGGTCTTAGGCGACCCCTGTGAAAGGGTCGTTCGACCCCCAAAGGGGTCGCGACCCACAGGTTGAGAACCGCTGATTTAAACAGACCCATTCCCCATGCTGGGTCAACATTATCAACCATTTTGCAGGTACATAAGTACATGATGGGACTTAGGTCACTACATGAGCAGAAAATGGATCTGTGTTTTCTAAATGGGTTATTGTTTTAAGGTCCTGCTTCCAAAGATTCCTCGAAGTGTGTGACCCTCTACCAACTGCTGACTTCATATCATTCATTTAACTGGCATTCACTGAACACTTACTGCGTGCTGCAGGCTCTACACGGCATGACCTGAAACATTTTTAAGCTTTTACAAGTAACTTTAATAAACATGGATAAAATTATTTTGGAGTCAGACTATATGGATTTATTAACTTTGCCACTCAGCTACCTATCTTTGAGAAAGTGATTCATTATTCTGTAAAATCAGAATAAAAATAGAATATTGGGTTGTGTGAAGAATAAATGCATTAATATATGCAGTACAGAAAAGTGCCTGGCACACAGTGTAAGTGATATGTTTTTGTTGTTATTTAATAGGATACAATGGACAGAAAGGTATTTATAAGTAGATACAAATAAACCCAGCATTTCCTAAAAGCTCTTTCCTTTTAATATTTTTACCAGAAATAAAGAGTAGAACAAAATGATTGGTGTTATCTTCCTTTCCTGTTTCTACACCTGCACACAACTCCACACACCAACATACTGACAGAAAGGTACAAACTAATGTGCTTCTGATGGGTAAAATAAGACATTTTTGGGGGGCCAGCCATCTGAATCTGTGCCAGTAACCTAATGCACATTTTTGATAGCCTATAATCAAGTCACTGCCCCTTTCTCCACAATCTGGTCTAGCGGGACTTGTTTTCCTAATTACTCCCAGTTTATAGAGGCGTCATAAACGAAGAATGCAGCAGCTTAGCTATAGGGGAGGTCATGGCACCACCCAGACCAGGCAGTTAGATACAACCTAACTTCCCCATTCTAACTGACTCAGGAGGGGCTGTGCAAGCCCACCACGAAAGCCTGTAGTTAGGAAACAGACAGAAAACAAAGAAACCGAAGGGTATAAAGAGAAATCTTCCTCTATATTGGCTTACTCAGGATTTGGAGACCTGACCCCCTGAGTCACTGAACTAGTACCTGTGAAACATCTGGAAATAAATGGGTTTATCCTGGATCTCCAAGTACTCCTGTGTATTTTTCAGTCGCCTGGTAAATGCTGTAATGCTTCCGAGTGGGAAATCAACCTAAGTTATTTTCTTATGAATGAGAATGGGTTCTGCTGACGAACAGGTTAATTTATTGGATGGTCATATCTAGCATTAGAATATGCACATGACACTTCTTTTGGTTTTCATTTAAAAAAAAATAAAGCTAACCAGCTTCCTGGGGACTTTGAAATTAGCGATTCTGTCCTCAGCACCATGTTCTAACTAGTTGAGCTACATGATAAAGCCAAAAGGCAGACAGAAGAAGAGAAATGAAGGAAAAGCAAAAAACCTACTGAGGTTTTTAACTTATATTTTGGTGAGAATGTACTCTCAAATGAATAATATAATTCAAAATCATGTAAATTCATTCTTTTCAAACCAAAGTTTACATATCCCCTGAGATACATGAAGTCCAGGACAAAGAGTAATCAGAAAGAGGATCTTTACATTAAAAGTAACACAAAGAGTGTATGGAGTAGAATGAGAAAATAATGCAACTTTTCAAAGAAACTGCATGCAGACAACTTTAGGTCATGCCCACTGGGCCTTCTCTAGTTCTGGAGTTTGTTAAAAAGAGAAAAGCTTGAGAAGCAAAGCTATAATTATAATTAGTAAAACAAAACAAAGCAGTAAGTAAAATAGAAGATAAAATAGAAATGTAATTGATAGCTGGTCATAAACTTGTCTTTTTTAAAAACTGAACTGTCCTAGAATTCTTAAAGAGAAAAGCTACTAAACGGATATATGTTATTCTTTTAAACAAGTTCATTTTGACGTGCTTGGAACAGGGGCTAGGACCTAGGAAGCACCATGTAACTGCTAACTAAATAAATAGTTAAAAACTTGCCCTAACCGGTTTGGCTCAGTGGATAGAGCGTCGGCCTGCAGACTGAAGGGTCCCAGGTTCGATTCCGGTCAAGGGCATGTACCTTGGCTGCGGGCACATCCCCAGTGGGGGGTGTGCAGGAGGCAGCTGATCGATGTTTCTCTCTCATCGATGTTTCTAACTCTCTATCCGTCTCCCTTCCTCTCTGTAAAAAAATCAATAAAATATATTAAAAAAAAAAAAAAAAACTTAGTAAAACCCACTGCTGGCTTCTTTGTGTTTATGGCTTGTTTGAGTTTTTACAATTGCCTTTCACTGTCACCTCCATCTCTGTGGCTCCCAGGTGTGTGTCTCTGGCTCAGGCCCTGCCCTGGGACCGGGATGTTTAAACTGCCTACCTCGTGTCTCCCGTCAGATTATCTCAAACTCTCCACAACCTAGGTCATATTCGTGATCTTCCCTCTGAAACTTGGCCTTCTTCCTAAAACGCCTGCGTTGCCGTTCTCACCATAAATCCATAGACCTGTCCTTGCTGTTTCTTATTCTTTGGAGGTCCCTGATAACAGGAAGTAGAGAAAGGACTGGAAATGACTAAACAGAGGCAAACCTGGACACCTCTGCATGGGTGGTTCTTACCTCCTTTAAGTAAAGGTACGGGCTCCACTCAAGTCAAAGTCCAATAGTAATTAGGTCCTCAAATAAGTTGCCTATTTTAACCAGGGCAGGAACTGAAAGCATCACGTATTTAACCTAGAAGTACTCACAGTGGTGAAAAACAACAACAACAACAAAACTCCCGGCCCCTGAACTGCACTCTTTTTTACAAACTTAATGTTGTTTCCACTACAGATCAAAGGGAGGGCTGGACAAAAGGGTGAGGTGCTGAAGATGGCAAAATTTTCACCTGTCTATTCCCTGCCTTCACTTGGTTTTACAGAATATTTATTTCTCTCTCTCTCACTTTTCAATTACAGTTGACGGTCAACATTATATTACTTTCAGGTATGTGGGATCTTTTATTTCGAACCCCTAAAGATTCTGTTGAGGGCCAAGTGTGGACGTACATGGAAAGCGCACAGGCCACCCAGGAACAAATTCAACCTCAAAGCTTGCTCTCAACTATGAGACGCGCAGGCTGGGAGACCAGGCCCTGAGCTCTGTGTCCACAGCCAAGCACCCCGCCCCCACTGGCGTTTCCATTTTTCAGACCTCTATGCTGTGTGCTTTTCTGTAAGTGATACAGAGTGGAACTTGGCAATAATGTAGAGAAGCAAGTAAGATTCATGTTATGGTTTTTTACTTTAATATTTATGTCTAAGTTGGTGCTGGTAAATAATAAAAAGAGGATAAAACCTAACAGGTATATAGCTGAAACTAAAAGAAATCACTAAAGGCTCAAAAAGATAATATTTGAAAGTAAAAATCTCCTACTTTGTCCCTTTTCTAACTTTTCTTTTTTAAACAAATATATTTTATTGATTCCAGAGAGGAATAAAGGGGGGGGGGAAGAGAGAGAGAGAGAGAGAGAGACATCAGTGATGAGAGAGAATCATTGATTGGCTGCCTCCAGCACACCCTCTACTTGGAATCGAGCCCACAACCCGGGCATGTGCCCTTGACCAGAATCAAACCCGGGACCCTTCGTCCGCAGGCTGACGCTCTATCCACTGATCCAAACTGTCTAGGGCTCTAACTTTTAACACTACCATCACTCCTAGTACATGCTGAAATAATGAGTAACTGCAGGAGGCACCGAGGACTGGATGTTTAGTACATCTGTATAACATATTGCTTTATATTGTGGAGCTTAGATTTTCAGAGCTGTCACTTTGAAAATAACCCTTCTAGGTTCTTCTTCATTTTTTTTGTCCTGAAAAATAAAAGAAGCAACAACAAATTCTTTTGGGTTTTTAAAAATGGCTATCAAAAAAATTATTCTTGTCTCCTAAAAATCCATTTTGATCCACCCAGTGTCAGGGAGCAAAGGCCCCTGTAAGGTCCCCCAGGCTGATGTGACACGGCTCCTCTGTAACTGAAAAAGACCTGGGAGGGCAGGGCTCTCACCTTGTTTGGAGTTGACATCTGATGGGATGTGTGACGGGTGTGTTCCTGGAGAAAAGTGCTCGTCGCTGTAAGTGATGAGGGGGGTGAGAGGATGAACCGCATGGGATGGCTGCACCACGGGCACTTTATTCGACTGCAAAGTAACCACAAGGTCAACAGTTAACAATGGATGCCCAGCTCCTGTCTCCTCTCCCAGAGAAAAAGCCACACAATAGCAGTAACTGGGCATCAGCATAACCTAAGAATCCTCTCCAGACCTGGACAGCTGAAATCATCTGCTGTACCCACTTAGACCTTCAGAATCTGTCCATGTTAAATACTCCTTGTGTCTGACTAGCCCATTAGGAAACTATCAGTTATTTAACCAGCTCTCCTATGGAGATTTAGGTTGATTGCTATTATTCCATACTAGAGGCCTGGTGCATGAAATTTGTGCGGGGCAGGGGGGTTCCCTCAGCCCAGCCTGCACCCTCTCACAATCCGGGACCACTGGCTCCTAACTGCTCACCTTCCTGCTTGCCTGATCACCCCTAATTGCCCCCCCCCAGCCTGATCACCCCTAACCGCCTCTGCCTGCCAGCCTGATTGCCCCTAACTGCTCCCCTTGCTGGCCTGGTCACCCCCAACTGCCCCCCCTGCTGGCTTGGTCGCCCCACAAAGCCTGCTGTTCAGTCATTTGGTCATCCCTCACTAACCCTCCTGCCAACCTGGTCACCCCACGCAGCCTGATGTTCAGTCGTTTGGTCGTCCCTCACTAACCCCCCTGCTGGCCTGGTCGCCCCATGCAGCCTGCTGGTCGTTTCTGTTACTGTGACAGCATCCTGGACAATTTGCATATTCCTCTATTATTAGTATAGGTGACATGAATCCTGTACATACCTATTTACATTCCCTTTTAAATGATCTCTTCAGGTTGATTTCAACAATGAGTTATGGAGCAAAAGTTATGAATGCTTTATAAGCTCTTTATTCATTACATACTAAAAGCCCGTTGCACAAAAATTAGCACAATAGGCCTTCCTTCCCCTGGCTGCTGGCACCAGTTTTCCTATGGCCCCCGGGACGCAGGCCTTTGGTCTGGCCACAGCGGAGAAGCCAAGCCTCGAGGCTAGGCTTCTCCCCTCCAGCCGCAGCAAGGCTTGGCTTCAGTCTTCAGTCTTCACTCTGGCCGGAGCCTTCAGTGTTTGCTCCTTGCCTGCGCATGCAAATTAACCGCCATCTTTGTTGGGTTAATTTGCATAGTCGCTCCAATTGGCTGGTGGGTGTAGTGGAGTGACACCAATTTGCATGTTTCTCTTTTATTATTGTAGATGTCTGCCAATAAAAAGGCACTCAGGCCCTGACCAGTTTGGCTCAGTGGATAGAGTGTCAGCCTGGGAACTAACGGGTCCCAGGTTCGATTCTGGTCAAGGGCATGTACCTTGGTTGCAGGCACATCCCAGTAGGGGGTGTGCAGAAGGCAGCTGAATTGATGTTTCTCTATCATTGATGTTTCTAACTTTCTATCCCTCCCCCCTTCCTTTCTGTAAAAAAATCAATAAAAATATATTTTTTTTAAAAAGGCACTCAGTAAAAAATTGTTCAATGAACAAGTAAATGAATAAATACTGCCAATTTAAAAGGCAAAATTTCAAACAACCCAATAAATATAAATTTGCTGTACTGATATTCCATTGGTTTATAGAATTTATGATTCTATAATTGTACATCTCTAAGAATCATGTTATACCATTTTAATGTGTTATAGCTTTGTCAATCAAACCTGATTATCCATTATGCTTTAGGCCTACTCAGTTCATCTTCATATTCTCTAGTTTCTAGAAGTCTTAATTAATAAAAGGAATTTCCAATCTTGAGTTTAAATGCATAATGTGAAATATAGCTTGTAAAAACCACTTTAAATTGTTAACATCTTATATATTTTGTCTTGTATCTGTTTAAAAATAAATTTATTTAAATTGGAAGCCCAAAGCTACATAACATTTTTTTAAAGGTACAGGTTATTTATTTGGACTTCATCAATTTGAAATCTGGGATCCTTTTGTTTGGTTACCCTATATAATAAAAGGGTAATATGCAAATTGCCCCTAACAGTGGAATGACCAGAACGACTGCTGGACCAGACACTGTGAGGCACACTGACCACCTCTCAGTCCCTTTCCCCGGCCAGCAGGCTCCGATCGCCTGATGAACCGGGAGCTGGGGGTGGGTGGTGGGGGACGTGGGCGGCACCAGGCGTAGGTCCCGACCCGGCTGGTCACACCACACACAGAAGGCGAACCCTGATGGGGGCGGGGCTGGCTGGAGGCAGCCAGGGAAGATGGCCCTGGTTGCAGGCCAGGCTAGGGACCGCACCTGTGCATGAATTCGTGCGCTGGGCCTCTAGTAGTTGGATAAACTCCTTGCCCCCTCAAGAAAGTGCACTAAGTAAATCAGTAATATAAACAAGACTGGGGCAGTTTAACCTGATTAAGGAGATAGATTTTTCAGAAACTTTACACCTCCTCCCCTCAAAAGACAGAAAACCTGACACAATTATATACATACAAAATGTTTCTGATTTTAAACAGATAGACTAATTAAACCAGTATCACAAAGATCTGTAACTGCATACATTATAGTAATGAGTAACTTGTGAATTTAAGAGGAATAAGATATAATGAATCTTGACTATTAACTAATTCACTACTTCAGACATGCCTTCACCACCAATAGTTTGAATTCATGAGATTTTTACTGTACTATAGATTAAAATGCATCTGAAATCCGTTTCTCCAAAAGCAAATATCTGTATTTAAAAATTTGGAAAAGTGCCTGAAAACTGCCCTGCACGGTATAAACTGCCTATAATGTCGATCTATATCCGACTGGTTTCAGGCCCTGTTAACACACCTGTGTATGGTGGCGGCACTATGATATGCATAATTTTGTGTTTGATGTTTTTTACAAATTGGGTATAAAAAGTAAGTGGCTCCAGCAAAAAGGTCTACCCTCAGGAAAATTAGGAGCAATTATCCTAGTAACACTAAATTCTCTTTACAGCCAGTAATAGTAATTCTCTATACCCTATCATTATAACCTCCACCCAAAAGAAACTTATGAAGGCAAAAACGCAAGGGGGGAAAATCACCCTTTTTCAGACAATGATATGATTTTCCCTGTTTTATAATTATCAGCTCCTCTCTAATGGCAGAACTTGCACTGCTCGTATAGCCCTTGGCATTTATTAAATAGAGCACCATTATCAAAGTCACATGCCTTTTCTCTACACACCTCACCACAGACATCTATGCATATAAATGTGCAAAAGGTTAAAAAAATGTTCCAATGCTTTTCAAGTGTTAATGATGCAGTCTGCCAAATACAATGATGAGCTTCTTAAATACAAGGAATTTAGAGTTTAGAGGAGGTAGGGGGTGATGGGAAGGTGGGTGCGGAGATAGGAGGATATTGTTATAAACCCTTTTTCAAATGGAAACAAAAATCTCAACACCCAAATGCTAAAATGAATATAGGTCAACTATACTTTAGGATAAGAGCTTTGATTTTCATTTCAAAAGTCTCATAAGTATAGTTGCCAAACAATCTGTAAAGATACTTTTTTAAGGTAGTTAAAAAGAATAAGCATTGCAGAAATCTTCAGAAAACACGTATGTCTTTTGCATGCCTTTCTTATTTCCATAGCATCATCTTAAGGAACTTGCATTAGCAGGCAGCATCTCCTTAACGTCTGACCTATCCCTCCAGTCATATAGCTCAGAATTCGGTGCCATGAATTTTTACTAAATTATGCTATCCTTGCTCTCCTCTTAATTTTACGGTTTTCAACACAGATTTGCTTTCCTGTGGGAAAGAGATAAGAAGCCAGGGATTTTAATTTAAGCTCTGGCCTTGTCTTATATTTTGCAAGATGGATAGCATACTAGTAGTGTGTTACAGCCAACAAGGATTATGTCCATTTTTGTGGCCAAATAATGAAAGCAATACGAAATCTCAATAATAGGTGTGAGCACAATTCTAAGTTTTATACATGGCTCCTGCTGACCACCTCCACTGGGCATATAAACAGGACCAAACTACACTACACATCATGGTCAGGTGTCCTCGGCCCTAAACAGTAGGCTTCCCCTGAGAGCACAAGGGACTGTCCTTTGACACTATGTGCACGCACAAGGCAAGAGCCCAGGTACAGCCGCTCTGAGTAAGTTTTACAGACAATATAACCATTCTTAATTCTAGCCTCAGATCTCCAAATAACAATGTGGTGCATCTTGGGCGGGGCAAAGGGAAAGGAGGAGGAATAACCAAGTGACTACCTAGTCTTTACAGACAACTTTATGTAACTACATAATAATGTGCAGTTGCACAGGGGCATGTGGGCTTATGCGTGGATTTAAGCACCTGAAAGGTGCCAACGTGATGTGAGCACTGATGGCCAACACAGATGAGGCTGCTGTTCTTGTGCAGCCTCCTTTCTAGGGGCCTGCAAGGCCGGGGGGGGGGCACGGGGACGGGCGGGGGGGGGGGGCACGGGGACTGGAGATAATGGACAAATATGTAAACAAGACAACGAGTAAAATCTCAGAGGAAGACATCGAATACTATGATTAAAAGAAACGTGGTGATAAGAGAGTATAGTAGTTACTGGTATATGCCTTTGTATTATGCTAACACTATAAGAAACCAACAGTTTAAAACTAAATAGTCTAAGATTCTATTTCCTAAAACAGGAAACGGAGGTCACCAGGGAATGAGTGAGCAAGCCATGACTGCTTTCAGCACTTATGACAACGCAGGGCTGCTCACTACACAGCTCCAGTAACACAGGGTCACTGGGGATACCATTCGAGTGGAAACCCTGGTCACTCAAGACAGTGGGGACCATCCTGTTAGCTCCTACTCTGTGCACCTAGGATCTCACTCGATAGACACCCTGGCCCCTGACTCCCACACACCTCCCTGCGAGGAAGGGAGAAAGGACAGACGGCTTTCTTTTTCACTCACAGGTACAGTCAGGTGAGTTTTAGCTTCCAGTGCAGAAGCACCAGGAGCTCCCAATGCCTGTCCTGTTTCATTTCCCAGGTGACAGCAGGCACAATTATCCCACCTTTATGAGATGCCAGGAGCCTGTGT